ATGTGCGCGCTCGAGGAATTACTTAGTGTGGAAATTTTTAGAACTTTATGTAAGACCGCCTCAAGCTATAACTCCGAGAGGAGTCCTAGGAAACTGAAAAGAGAAAGCTCGTTGGTCATTACGGGCCGTGTTCTTGAGCTGTTTCACACCTTGATGAAATCGTCCGCAAAATGCTTAGGAGTAAAGTATACAGTGGTGTTCACTGCGGATGAAGGGGCGTGGCCAGGCAGGATGTGCTTGACGCGGCGACGTAATCGTTCTACACCAGTTGCTGGAGCGGCTAAGCGACAACGATCGGTGCAAAACAACTGATACGATCGATATGATACAGTCTTGTCGCTTGTTTGCTTCAACAACTGGTGGAGCAGGGTTTGACGCCGCGCCAACCCCATCCCACCTCATACGCTTTTGATCCATAGCGAAGAATGTACTTGTATTTCCACAATCTGAGATTTGATTAGTAAAAATCCCATGACAAAATGTGGAAATTTTTCTGCGGAGCGAAAGTGAGGTTACCCACATACAGTAATGACCCTTTCGAACAATAGGCAGCGTTCAGACTTCGCGACGGCAGCGCTTCGGTCGCGCGTTCGACGCGATCGATGCAGTTGAAAGCATGCGCATCGATCGCGTCGAACGCGCGACCGAAGCGCTGCCGTCGCGAAGTCTGAACGCTGCCTTAGGGCGTGGTGGGGCGTGGATTGGAGCGCTCCCGAGACGGCCTTCTTCACCAGCGATGTCATCCTGAGTCCGCTACAACAGGCGCCAAAGGCCGTTGTGGCTGTGCTCCAACTCACGCCCCTTCACATATCCTGTCGTTTGCTGGGAACATGACTACACCTTAGTTGAGTACTGTATGTTCTCTCTTTATTTCTATCATGTATCCTTATTCAGGAGATTCCTGTCAAACACGGAACTATCAGTCCGTATGGGATCGTGTTACTACCAATAAAGCGCCAGCTGGACGTGCCTCTCACGCTTCTGTCATTATCGATGACGTCATCTGGAATATTGGTAAGTAACGTGACAGGTTCTCATATTACCCATTATTTTTGAGTTCCTTTATCCATGTAGACTGTGGTAGACGTTTTGCCGATCTTTTGGTAATGGTTTAATTTCTTTCAGAACTTCACTTCTGAGATTTTTTTCTTTTTTCAGCCCACTAGACAATTTTGCTGAAATTTTAATTTAAGGCGGTGAACACTTCAGTGGAGTAGTTTTCGAAGATCCTGTTCTGTTCAACATAACTTCTCGGTCATGGAAATCTATTGTGGTAGGAGGAAAAGCTAAGCCTGGTCCAAGATTTGATCACACAGTAGTGCGTTACAAGGTAGGAAAACAAAGCGTATGTTAATAAATAAATAACAGCTAGGTCCAACAAGCTTTAGAATCAGTGAGGATATTCTTTAGCACACCTTAATTTAAATAAGTAAATTTGTACCGTTTTGAAATAATTTTTGTTTAGTCGAAACTGTTCATGTACGGTGGTGTTATTGATAGAAAGAATATCACAAGTGAACTTTGGAGTTTTGATTTGCATACGAAAGAATGGAACCAAGAAAACGGAGAAAACAAGAATCTAACGGTACGTTGCCATTGCATTTGATTGCTTATTCAGGTTTTAGTATTCTCTGTTTATTTTTTATTGGGGCGGTTGGATACGCTGGCCACAAACACGAGGATATGGAATACAGAACTGCACAGCCCAACTGTGTAGTTGAATCAAGCATAAGCGACATGCAGGAGATCTACAGCGTCGGGCGTTTCAAAAGAAGATCGGAATCGGCCAAGGGGCCAATTTCCTATTTATTGGATGTTATCTCTGCGAATTGGGGGGACGGGGGCGTTCACTACACTGGTAAGCAAGGCAGCCCGCGCGAGCCGGCTCGCCGCTCCTCCATCCGAGGGACTTGCGACGTATCAGATATGTATAAACATACAGTACCGAGTACAGAACAAATATTAATGGCCTTTCTTACTTATTGTAAATGAGCAATTCCTTATCTTATTAGGTGCTGTGTTCATTTCTTTGCGGCAGCGTCTCTAGTCGGACAATAAGCGTCGCACGCAGTTCGAGACTACCGCGCTAGCGCCAGCGATTAGGGAAGTACAGATATCGACTCCGCAAAGCGACAGCGTCCGCGCAGCGACGCGACCAGCAGCGTCCGGGAGTGGAGAGTCTAGCAGATAGCTGGTAGAGTATGGGGAGATAGGAGGGTAGCAGACTGCTATCAGAGAGTATGGCGGATAGGAGGGTACCAGGCAGCTTGTAGAGTGTGGGTTTGATAGGAGAGTAGTAGGCTGCTGATAGAGAGTGTGGCGCGATGGGAGGGTAGCAGATAGCTGGTACTCTCCTATCGCCCGGCACCATCTACCAGCAGTCTGCTGCTGGTCGCTGTTAGACGCTAGGAAACGAGACGCTAGGTTAATAACTATACTTCCCTAGCCCTCGAGACCCTGCGTCACTGGTAGACGCTGGTAGGTCTAGAATCGATGACTTATACTGGTGGGAGGTGAGAGGTGGTACGCGTACGCTGCAGGACGCACGGATGCTGGTAGGCGCAAACTATGAACGCAACCTTACAGTTGCTTTCAATATGTTTTCCGTATACTTTCTGTGCAGTTCCAAAGCTGAACCGACAAGTTCAGCGATATGTCATTACCGCTTGCTGAACTAAAATTAGAAACGAATTTAACCTGTATGATAGGAGTGAGGGGATCATGAGGCGAATCATGTTATTTTTCAGTTTCCTCCATTGGCCGTTTCCGGGCATACAGCGCATGTGATTGGATCGGAGATGTATGTAATTTTTGGCTATCACCCTGAAATAGGATTTGTTCATAATGTCCAAATCTACAACTTTGGTAAGAGTGGTTTCTAGTTTTCTGATTAGAAGCAAATAAGCTCGCGTAAACTTTGTTAGCTTACAGAGACAGGAAATGGAGTTTCGGAATACAAAGGACCAGATATGGACGATTCCGACATACATCTGTGCACTACAAAATGGATTCGGTTAGTTATCTTGTTTTGTTCACTACTGCTTATCCAAATTAGTTTCGAATCTCACGGAAACAATAGGCGGATCCCAAATCATGAAACTACGTCGTTATAATTAGAGCTAGAATTACGAGAGCGTGAACTCACCGGCGCTGTCAGCAGTTCAAGATTGAAAGTTTCGAAGGATTGGTGGAGGTAGTGCAGTAAAGGGAAGACAAATGTGGGACGTTAGATTCGCCTTGTGGCGACACGGCGTTCCAAGCGACGTCATGGACTCGGCTCACACCAGGATCTAATTCATTTAAAATGGAGTTTGCTCTAGGGTGCCGAGCTAGCTAGAAAATACCGTGCTAATTTGTGCGCGTCGCTCAATGTGGACCAACGTCCCACAAAACTAAATCAGAAAGTTTTTCCAACTTTCCTAATGGAACTTGAAGGGAGACTTATCATTATCCATGCTGTTTGAATGCTTGTCATAACGCAATGACGCAGGAACCGTTATCTTGATTTCTAATGAGTTAGCGGGCAGTCGAATTCGTTGAAAGCTCGTCTCTGCGCGTCCGTGTCAAATTTCTAATAATCAAACTGAAAGTGACAATTGGCGTTCAATGGGTTCCAAAATTACTATGGGCCTTGAGGGGGAGGGGGCTTTTTTGGGGCACAGGGACATGGCATAATCTAGCTATGTATTACTAGAGCGTTGAATAAGTGCCAACAGGGCACGCCTCGCTCATACTCGCGCGCGCAAGAATATATGTACAGAAACCCCCAAGAATTCTAGACCGTACCAGTTTAGGCACTAGGAGGAGAGGGTTGAAGTTTTGGCGGGCAGCAGCAGCACTTTTTTCATCAAAGACAAGGCGGCAACAGAATTGATGGAAAAGCGAGGCCTGACGCGCCCCCCCGCCCCCCCAACCTTACTCTGCCCTGTCATGCCACCAGTGGAACGCGTTACATCCCAACCTCCATCCAGATTTTGTTGTCAACTCTGAAACGCTCTTGAAACGGCTTTCCTTGGTTAGGGCCACAGTGGAACGATTACACCCAGCCCTCCATTCAGAATTTTGTGTAAAGTTGAAAAACTCTTGAAAACCTTTTCCTTGTTAGAGTAGAACGTACTTCCTGAGCTCTCTCAAATTTAGGGGTGATGCCATTCTGGTGTACGGCGGCACTATGTGGTCGAATACTCAGAACAATCTCACCGATAGTCTAATGAGATATGATATTAAGCACGAGAAATGGTAAGCTTTGGAGCCGTTGTAATGTTGTACTGTTCAGTACTGTCCATTATGCATAACTCTTCTCTTCAAGGGCAAATCTACCACCGTCTGGTGTGCAGCTATTTCTACACACCGCAACCATTCTGAACGGTTTGATGATTGTGGTTGGAGGAAACGGATATAATATTAGTGAATCTCGAACTAAGCAGGAATGTTTCTCATCGATGGTTCAAGCTTACGATATAGGTAAGTCCTCCTGATTTTAGTCCAGGGACACCACAGCGCGGCAGCCGAAACTGTACGATGGTCGTACAGTGCTAGTGACAGTACTGCGGTAGGATTCCTCTTCTAAAGACGCCGTGATAGACCAATGCTAGAACCTCATAAATGTACAAGGTGATCCGGTCTGCAATTGAAGAAAGTGTACCATTTCAGAAAGTTTACAGAAAGCACGCCTCGAGCTTGAAGGCACGCGGGGCTTCCATTGATGGTCAGGCGCCTTCTTCGGGAGTGGTAGTGCTATCCGCATAGATGGGGATGTACTATTTCCGCAGCCCTAAAGTGCGTGAGAAAATGTCCGCCTAGCAAAGAAAATGCGCCGACCCGCCCACTAGTCACTGTAACGCCCAATTTTCATTTCTGAAGGATTTCTAATGGTGTTGTTGCTCCGCTCTCTCCATCTTGCATGGTGAGGATGAGGTGATAGGGATGAAGAGCTAGCACCAATTAGTGATAACACGTCCGACCGAGTTCTTTCTTCGCTTATGCACCAAGAAGTGCAGTCCAGCGCCTAGTCCTATATGGGGCGTTTCGGCGAGCTTATTGTGCTATTCCTTGTTTTTTTTTATGTTACTCGCCATTTTGTCATTAAGCCACCCATTACATCATGTTAAACGAGGAGCATGCCTTGAATTTTAGGCCCCAAGCGCTTAATAGGTCCATGCCGACCCGTGCTATTCCGTTTGCCATTTTTTGGTCTCTGATGCTTAATATTCTGAGCTCTTTCGCTATGAATTAACAATTACTAACCTGGATGCATGGAACTCCGGATTTACCTTTTGGACCAATTTCAGTACTTTCATCAAGAAATTTCAGCTTGTAAGCAGTGGTTCAATATTTCATCTGGTGAAGGTCAACTACGACGTTATGGCCATACAGCCGTTTTGTGTTTCCCTTAGAACATCTTAAATGAAATTGGGCTGAGAAAGCGATATTTTCATTTGAATGTGCACTGCAAAGTGATGTTTTCAAGATAGAGTAACTGTCGAGTCATCAAGTACAGATAACTGATTTTTCAAAGTTTCTCATATTTCTGATCCCAGCCTATGTTTTCAAAGAACATAGTGGAACACTCACCTTCCCGATATGGCTTAGTAGTTGTCAAATGCGTGAGGTTTGTGAGTCCGCAATGGAAAAAGCGTGCTATTTTCGCACATACAAAGTACTTGGAAGCGACTGTAGGGCAGTGATGCTAGGATGCAGCCTCCTGCCTCTCTCGCGCTAGTGATGCTCGGATGCAGCCTCCTGCCTCACTCGCGCTATCATCAAGCTGCAGCTTTTCGTCTATGTCAAGATCCTGCGGTGAGACACGTGCTTAGCAGCAGATGACAAACAGAAGTGAAAGGGCGCAGACAAGCAACGCTTTTGGATATGAGCAGGCGTGTGGCTGGTTGTGCAGCAAGTTGCGTCAGCGTAATTTGCTTGTATTTGGAAGCCGGAATGACAACTGGCCCTCTCTACTCTAAAGCCTCGCTAGCCTCGTGCTCAGCCACTATGGTCCAACTTATAGCCAATACGCCCTACGCTTGTCTGCGCCACTCTCACTTCTTGTGGTTCTCTACCTCTGACTGGGTTTGCTGCGAGATTTCAGTATGGGCGCGACTTCTACACCTTGAGGGTAGCGCAGGCGGACTGGGAGACGGCACCCGAGTATCGCTACCCGAGCCTCGTTTCTGTGTACTTTTGAGCAGAAAAGTAGCGCGCTGCTGCAACTGAGGACCCGTTCATTCTGCACATGGAAAGGACCATCCTCGAAGCTGTGTAACAGTTTGTCTTCAGATAGTCGGGAGACGGCACCTGGGTTCCTTGTGGCTTCCAACTCTTCTCGCCTTTTATTCTGTAAAACCCCGCTGCACTTGTCTGCTTTGCTAGAGCCAACATTCTGTAACTGAAATGCGCAAAATGCGTTGGACTCTGACAAAAGTCGATGCCGGACATAATTGTAAGGGGTTAGTAAAAGTTCTGCCTAAAAGCCTCCTTGGCATCGAAGACCATTACGGCCATGTTATACGAAGAGAGAGGGTGGAGAGTGATGGTTACAAGGGTTTATCGCGTAGCTTTTGTAGTTGTACATGTCCAAACAGTCAATCTTGAATTTGCATGACGTTGAACGCAGTATTCTAAAAACTAACAGCTGAGTTTTCCTATAGAGTTCGCATGGACAGAACTGTTGCTGTCATTAAGTTCCATCTGACAGTTCACTTACTATCATGTTTAGCTGAATGTTCGTCTGCTACACGTCCAGAAGAATGTCGGTCATTAATTGATGGGGTGAAATGCATATTTACTGATCGTGCCTGTGTGAGATTTGATCCATTTGTCAGCTACAAGCAATCCTTCTTGTCTTTTGTCAAGAACGAATCGCCAAAATCAATGTCCGAGTGCAGGAATACCGCGTTGAGGTGGGTGTCATTTCAAAACCACAGATTTTTGCCTCCCATGTCTTTTCTCTATGCATCTTTTTCTTAGGCAAGCTCTGCAAATATGCGAAGAGCAGAATGATTGTATGTCATGCACTTCTGAGCCTGGCTGTGGTTGGTGCCCGTCTGGAGATCAGTGCCTTCCGAACGATGGTGAATGCGTTGACGGACAGGTAAGGGTTTTTTTTCAAGTCTCTGGTTTTTTCAAGTCTCTTTCTTATACATTTGGTATGAAGTCTGTTTTATAGTTTTCATTGAGAAAGGCTGCTCTTAGGCCCATCGGGGTAAAGAATGCTACTGGAACCCTGGAAACCGGCGCTTGCTCAGTTTCACCGGGCAAGATCAAGCAGGGATAGACTCTAATCTAAAGTACTATAGAGAAAGTCTGAAATATCGCTAATGTTATGACAGGAAGTAGAGGAGGAAACAAACAGCCCAGTAGTGTTTTGAATGGGATTTCAAAAACGAATGTAACAGTCTTGTTCCGCGTGCGGATTATGGGGCTGGTCAATAGGCTGGGTTGTGGCGACCCCCTCGGAGTCCGCTCGTACCATGTTGAAGCTGTAAGCGCACTCATACGGGGAATATGAAATACAGTATTGTCGCTTTGCCGGAGAAAAAAAAGAGACGCGAACGCGAAACCTTGCGTCGCGAACCCAAAACCGTCCATCCGACACGGCTCATCATACGATAATCGACGAGCACTCGACCCATAAGATTAGAACAATAAGGTGTGCAGTAGATGAAAACCAGAAAAATATACTATGAAGACATACCCTAAATATCGTGGTCCCTGCAATACGATATGGACATGTCAAAAAGCGCTGGGTTCGAGAACACGCAAAATGCCTTTCCGCCAATTGTTGCGGCTCAGGATTGAATCATCGTTGGGAAAACCGCCATGGTTTTCGAAAAACCTAAACCGGCCATGGTTTTCGAAAAACCTATCTCCATCATGCAGTAGTCTAGTTCGCTGGAATTTGTTCAACATGAGCTTCTAGGTGATGCTAACGGCATGGGAGAAATGCTCCTCATCGCGGGATCCTTCACCACCTCGTCCTTGTGGAATGGCAAATGACTGTCGGAGCTGCAAATTACTGCCTCATTGCAACTGGTATGCAGTTGAAGGAAAACCTGCTTGCATTCCATTAGAAGATGAAAGTGAGTTCCCTGTGATGGAATTACAAGTTTTTAAGGTTCTCAAGAAATCTTAGTTTCATCTACATATTTGGTTTACATGTCTGTAGAATCTATCTCTCTGGGGCAAAATGTTGTCTTCACTTGACCTGCGTTCAGTCCTGTCATTGTGGCGCGCGCTCCCAAGCTGTGATCATACTTTACGTCAGCGTTTTGAGCGTTCCGAGCGACTAGGAAAGTGAAGGTATCGATCTAGCGTACGGCAGCGTTTTCAGTGTATGTCAGCGTACAACAGCCTTTCGAGGGACCAGGGAAGTATTGGTATCGATCCAGTGTTTCCAGCGTACGCCAGCGTTCAGGAGTAGAGAGCTGGAGAAGTAGGGGTTAGCAGACTCCTGGATTAGGCGTCGCAAAATTGCGGCGTGTGCAACAGCACCGCACAGTTGCCGAAGCGCAAAATTATGCAGTCTAAATTCCACGATATATAGTCCTAGATCACAATATGTAGAGTTTAGCCGCATATGCCGCAATTTCTTGACGCCTAATCCAGTGGTGTGCCACCCTCGTACTTCCCCATACTCTCCACTGCTGGACCCCAGCATACGCTCTAGATGCTAGACCAATATCTACACATTTCCAGTCGTTTGAAACGCTGCTGTACGCTAGCGTACGCTCGAACCGCTCAATAAGCTGCCGTACGCTCAAGCGCTCAAAGTATGAACGCAGTCTCAAAACGCATCAAAGAGGCTTCGTTTTCGTCCAGCGCGTACTTGACTGTTGTAATTAAAATAGTAGTTACGATTCAGCATTCTCATGGTTGCAGTTCTCTGTTGGCACGCCTTCTAGCAGGAATTGCTCTCTATCGGTCTGCGTTACTGGGTTTCGCAACAGGACCTTGAAACATACGATGCAGTACTTATTTCTTCATTTACAGTACTACTGAGAAAAGAGCAGCTGGATCGTGAATTGGACCGCGTCGCTTCCTCCAGTCTACCTCTACGATTACCCACTACGCCGCCGCCGATTCCTCCTGGTCAGAATCTCTCATACTGTCCTCTACCGTGTTCGTCATTGCACACATGCGGTGAATGTCTACAAGAACAGAAATGCATGTGGTGTCCAAGTACTAGCAGGTTAGTTCCCCACTAGAGACAGAATTTGAGTTCTTTCGTTTTGCTTTGTTTATAAATCAGTTTTAAGATGTATTAATATGGAGGCGTACGCTCTATCCTTCGCCTACGGCCAATGTCACTCATGGGTTGCTGGTCATGCTCATGGTTTTGCTTTCTCCAAATCTTGTAGGATAGGTAGGTTCAATGTTTTTACCACTGCTATCTCGCTACCT